TTGTTTATTATTCAATCACAACAGTTATCTATGGTGATTTCTTTAAAAAACACGTATGTACCTAAATTGTGTATAACAAAAATTAAGCAATAATACAAAATATTTTTATTTCTCCATGACCATAAATAATTAGAATGTTTTATTCATAATTAATGAAAATTATATGTTTTCTAAATATTTTTCATAAATGAAAATATAGCACATTCATTATGCACGTTCCATATAAGAGACGATCGATATATCGAAAAAAATGTGACCGAATTGGAAACAATAGACAATATTTAGAGTGTTAGAGTCAAATGCAAGTTCTATTCGGGAAATCCATGTCACGATTATAACAACCCTAGTAAGCCACTCCGTATGAGAGATCAGTTGAAAGATTAAACGAAAGAACGAAAAGTGAAGAAGAGTGGGAGGAAAGGGAGAGAGGAAAAGGGGAGAGGAACGGAAGGCTTGGCTGCGTGTTATATACTACCTTCTGTATGACAACAAACACGCTTCATATTTACATAACAGAAGTTGAGATTCTTCGTATTAACTGACTCTTTATCCGAACTATATATATATATATATATATATTATACAACTTTTGTTTAAAATACTTTTTTGTTAGATTATCGCAAGTACTTAAAAAATCCTGAGAAATATTACGTGGGACATCCTGTATATTTGTTTCATAAAGAACATTTATACTATGGACTACTCTTTTCCATATTAAAAATTATGAACATAAGTATATACACAATAAGTCCCAAAAGTATTCGTACTCCCACTGTATATTTAAAACAATCAATATTTTCTTTTAATACAGTCATTCAAAATTCCTATACATAGAAATTTATTTTACGATTATTAAACTTTTATTTTTAAGCATTGTATTACAAAAAAAGATATCAATTATTTTAAATTTATAATGGAAGTGAATACGAATACTCCTATGACTCGGTATACTTTCATCTTTCCGACATTTTGGTTTCCTATTATTCTACTCAATTTTCTATCATTTTTTCTTACACTTATCTACTTAAACATATAAAGTAAAAAAATAAATAAATACATATTATTTATATATAGTTTTGAAATCCTTTTGTACGAAAACTGAAATCCTTTACTACATATAAATATGTATATTTAACATATATCCGATATAGATTTGTAAATATATACAATATTTATATAAAATTAATATACTTTAAATTTGAATAAAAATTAATGTATTGAAAATAGTAAAATTCGATATATTTAAAAATTATATATCGAAATATAAAATTTAAATTTTTGTTTAATTTTGTTTTTTCAACTTGGCATAAATTTTTCAAGAAAATTAATGTATTTATTTATTATACCTATAAATATTATGGATATATTTGTTATTGTATATTTGGTATATATTTGGTATATTATGGATAAAGATGTTATTTAACAAAGAACAAATTATTTAAAAACTTATTTCCTGATTGTGACAAATAATTTCATCGTAATAAAGATGAGTACGGGTATAGGTATAGATATAGGTAAGGTATAGCTAAAGCTATAGCTATAGCTATATAATCATACTTCATACCGAACGAAATTTCGAATAAAACCTAACCTCAATATTACTTTCATAGGTGGAACACGAAATCCGTCAGGAATTTGAGAATACCAATTTATAACTTTTCTTTATATTAGTATATAGAAAACGGGAGAAAGTTTCTACATAAGAATTTCAAATCTTTTCTATTATTTATTTTTTTATTTGAGTTATATTTTTCTACTAAATTTTCAATAATTTTTACTATAAATTATCTCCATAAATATATAAAGTAAAAAATACATATATATATATATATATATATATATATATATTTCCACTAAAGTTTTAATAAAATATTTTAACAACGCCAACCCTTAACTCAACACCAAAAGTGATGGACAGATGACAGGTAAAATTCTAATTTTTGCCTATAACAAAAAATTAACATGTAACAATGTTAATATTATTACAATAATATAAAATATAAGTAATTTGTAAATCCTTAAATTCTAAAAATGTATAAACAATGTGTAAATAATAATATTAAAAAATATTAATATCTGTAAGAAAGTTAATTGAAAAATTGTAATAAAATAAAATATAAATAACTCATGAATATCTACACTCAAAGGTGAAAAACACTGAATAATATAATAACAATAATAATAATAATAATAATAATAATAATAATAATAATAAATATATATGTATAAAACTCTGACACATACCTATCATCGTGAAGACGTTTGAGGTCGGTCATCTCGCGCTCGAACTTAAATTTCGATACCTCGCAGATAAGAGCATCACGTTCGCCGATGACTTCTCTGAGTTCTCTCTGAAGTCTTTCGATTTCTGCATATTGTCGGCTGATCAATTGATTTTTCTCCTCGAGGATGGTTTCGACGTCGGAATCGAGTAAACCGGTTGTCGATTCGTTACTTACACCACCGCCTCCACCACCTCCAACAACACTGTTCAGTACCGCGCTCATACCGTTTTGTTTACCTTTTTCTTCTTCTTCACACGAATAAATCACACACGCGAAATTTCCCTTTTAAAACGTTTGCTATTTCCCCCGCCCCCCCCCCAATTTCTATATTTTTTCTGTAATTTTTTTACTTTTCTTTTTTTCCTTTATTTTATTTTATTTCAATTAAATCACTTGATAGCGTCAACCTTCCCGCGCAAGCGACTTCACTCCTTTCTTCTTCTTCTTCTTTCCAACAACAGTAGAAAAACAACACCAGAGAATAATGAAAGAATGAAATGGAAGAAGAATAAGAATGAGAATAAGAATAAGAATAAAAAGAAGAAGAAGAAGAATAAAATGAAAGAAGAGTAAGATGAATACGACACTTCTTTTTCTTCTTCTTTTCTCGCGCCTTTTACCGCGATCAAATAATACAACTTGTACAACATCGAAAATCTCGATCGCTAAACCTCGATCGAGCGTAGAGAGTCAAGTCAAGTTGCCGGTGATAACGCACATAACGGATGCACAGTCTACCGTGAGAAATCGACGACTAACCGCCCCCACGATACGGCACCGTTTCATCCCAGCTTCGCCATCTTGCGAGACTCTCCTCCTTACCTCTCTTTGTCCCACGTCCCGGTCCGAATTCCGTATCGTTCCAGTTCTCCAGTCACACTCTAAGCACCGCCTTCTTCGTACCCCCACTTCCTTACTCTGTTCGTAATAGTACTACTCGCTTATACTCCCGCGCTTGCGCTCTCGTGTTATTTGCGCCGCCAAACTGCAGCGCCGTCTTTAGATAAAGATCTAAAGGGAGAAGGAAAGAAAAAGAGAGAGAGAGAGAGAAAAAGATAGATAACAATTACGCGCCATTTTTGGGACGTTCAAATACCAGTTTCTTTTATTTTTCTTTTTTTCCTTTTAAGTTCAAATGTGCAAAAAAGACAGATTTTACTATTCTACTATCTCTTTTATATTTTCTATTCTTTGAATATTCTTCTGTTTTTAACTAAATTTTTATTTCTGTTGTTATATTAAAAATTAGCAAATGTATTTATCCTTGAATTATTATTGAAAATTTATAATGAAACAAATGAGCTTGTAATAATTAACTCATCATTATTTATCGTTAAGTTAAAGCATCATTTACGAAATTATTTGTCCTTTTTTATTTCTATCTGATTATTGATATATTATTGTAAATGATCTGATGGTATTTGTTTGTTTCTAATTAATATTTTACTTTATTTAATCATTATTTTCAAACGTGAAAACTAATTTATATTAATTATGTTTGAAGATAATAGTAAACTTTGTTATTAACATTATTAATTACAAATTACGAATCGACACGAAATACGTAAATGTACGAACGAACTGAAAAATATATTAATATAATGCAAATGGTGCAAATCTGCATTATAAATTACAAACATGATAACTTAAAACAATTCAAAACTCAAATTTAAATTTTATTATTAATGTAAGATTTTGTATCTTATAATAAATTATGTGCGCAAATATTTAAATGGACATTACTTATTATGTAACTAACAATTACGATAGTTTTTTAACAACCGATAATCAACTTAATATAACGTAACAATTAATAGTTTCTATTTGATAAAAATATAGATGGAAACATAATATAATATTATTCGAAAATTTATATCAATGATTATATGCGTATGGTATTGAGTGTGTTTAATAACAAAAATATACTTTGTATAATCTAACGTAATACATAACAGATATTTTAAACAAGATTGTACTGCAATATTAATACCATATATTTTAAATATGTACTTTATTAAGAATATAAATTATTGTGTGAAAAAAATTATTATATTTCGAAGTAGTATAGAGTTTAATTTTAAAACAATAATCGAAAAGTTTAGTCTTTTGTTCTCCAGATTGATACATGTACTGAAAATCATTTAACATTTAATATTCGTCGACACTACCACATGGATAATTTTTAAAAATGTGCACATTTATCATACGTATAACGTAACATTTAGTTGTTGCATTGATATTTAATAACAAGTTCGAATTAATTTTGTAATGATGAAAATAAGATAAAATTTTGTATGTTCTTTCACACATTTATAAAGAAAAATAAATAACTTTTTAACGGTAATATATTAAGAATATATACATAAAATACTTATTGAAAAATACTAGAATAAAAAAAATATTTTAACAATGATAGTAATGAACTATAAACTAAGTGAATATAATATTACACAATTTGTTGTAAATGCTTTTATAATAAATAAAAGTTTTCTTTGTTTTTCAATGAAAATTTCCCAAAATATACCTAATGTACAAAATAAAGATAATTAAAAATATTATATTTCAATAAAGAATATATTATTTAATAATAGAAATTCTATATATATATATATATATATAAACGTTTAATATTTGTTTTTAAATATATATCGTATAGCCAATGAGACATTTTACTGATATTTTAATAGCTTCTGCATATTTATGCAAAGCTTTGTAATATATATAAAATTATTCGTTTTTTAAGTGCACTTTTTCCATGTATCCATTTTGTTAATTCAATTCACTTGCCACTGTAATGAATAAATTATTTTCATTAAAATCTGATTAAAAATAATTTATATTAATTCAATTTTTAAGTTATATTAGAAATATTAATATATAAAGAATAAATTTTAAGCTTTCCGCATTAGATTAATCATACTTTATACCTTTAATTGATTTTGTCCACTCATATTACCAGCTTCTTCTTCCCGTTTTACAATTTCCAATGCATGTTTCTGTTTTCTTCTAACTGATTCAATATCTTTTATACCTCGTTTTTCTTGTTCCGCTATTCTTTTCTCTGCAGCTTCCATTTGCCTTCGTCGTCTTGTTTCCTACAAAACAAATGAATTTATGTAAAGTAACCATAATAAAAATTTTGATGAATACATTATAAGATTATCAGGTTTGTTTATAAATTTTTCTCATGTAAAGTAACAACTTATATTTTAAACTAATTAAAATTGTATTGCTTAATCATACTGTACCTTTTATAATTTAAAATTGCATAAAATTTAATTAAAATTCTTCTAAAAGATACATATATTTAATTAATAAGAATATTAATAGATGAATGTACATACCCGTGATCATGTACATAATATAATAAATGTTAAAGTACATGTATAACCTTAGAAATTAATATACTTACCAAATCAGGTGTTAAATCTTCATATGATGATGATTCCTTGCAACAAGATCCACACAAATTCCCCATATTGCAGATGAAAATAAATTATTGATTAGAAAGTATTACAACTTTTTCTAAGCTTGTATTAATTATAGAAATAGACAAAAGCAAAGCTCGATCTATTGCGTCCAACTGTCAACAGTGTTCAGCAGGTTGTCAACTTGTTGCGCGTTTCAGCTTAAAAAATTCTAGATACTAAATTATTACTAAATAAACTGTAAAAAGGAAAAATAAGTGAAAATCGTAATTTTTAACATTTTATAATTTATAATTTAAATGAAAAATATCTTTAATTCAAATTATATTAAAATAAAATTTTTTACATACACGAGTATAAATTAAATAACAAATTTATATTTCAAAAAATTGTTTACAAATATATCTCAATATTTATATCTAACTATGATATTTGTCAGAACATAACTGTTAATTACATTTAAAAACGCAACTTATTTAGAAATATAATTTTCTATATAAATGACCTTAGAAAACAATTGTAGTAAAAATTAATAAAAATAGATGCTAAATTATATATTAATAAATGTTACATATATATACTTATTAAAAGTACTTAATCTGTACAATCTAGTGTTACATCTTATTGTTAAATGATTGTATTTAATTAATTATCTGGATTTAAAGCACCATCTAGTAACTGAATATTTAAACTAATTTGAAATAATAATCGTAGAATTACATCTCTATTTACAAATATATATAATTATACTATATCTTATAAAATACACATACTTGTTAATATTATATATTGTATGTATAATACTATTATAATAGAACAATTTTTATATTTTATTTAATAAACTATTTCTTATAATATCATACATAAAATTAATAAAAATTTTTTAAATGAACAGATCGTAGTGTGTAAAAATGCTGCCATTGTTGTTCTTATATTTTATAATTATATATTTGTTATTAAGTATAACTTTTAAATGTAATTATATGTTATAGTTTCTGATATAAAATCTTATGACAAACCGATAACCAAGCTTACTGAGAAAAAAATAAATTAACATATATAGAGTTTTATCAGGTACTTGTAATATAATTATTGTATATTAATTCCCTTTTCATTTTCTTTATTTTTATTAGGTGTGGCATTAAGTTTAGATAATTTTCTTAAAGACATCCTTCTAGACTTCCTAGATTCAACTTTGTACTTAAACCCTGGCAATAACTTACAATTAGTATTATAATTAGAATTATGATTTGTCATAGTTTTCGGTGACGATGATTGTTTTTTCAAAGTACTTAAATCTGAAAAATATATTTTTCGCTTTTGTCTTCCTTTCGTAAACAATTTACCAGGTGTCGTAAAAAACTTAGATTCATTATTAATATTGTTCTCCATTGTTTTGAGTTTCTTTTTATTGTTTTCACAAATATTCCATCTTGCTAAAACTTTTTCATAATTTTCATTGTATGATATAGGACTGGATAATGGAGAAACATTCTTCTTACTTGGAATTACGTTAATATTAGTATTTTTCTTTTCATCGGGTATAGTTAGAGTTGAATTAAACGTAGAGTTTATAGAAGATGCATCTAATACTGTTAACTTATTGTCCAAATAATTGTGATAATCTTCGCAGGACATTAACATTTTCATAAACTGAGAACTATTATCAGATGGTTTGTTAGAATTAACATCTAATATCGATTTACTGTTTGATTTTGTTTTCTTTTGTTCTTCGATTATATTACATGCTGAATTAATTTCCATCATTTTCTTTGCCGTGTCGAAACATCTACGTCTTTTTTTGACTATTTCTGACAAAAGTGTTTTACTAAAATCATCAGTGTTATTCAAGTATTCAGAATCCAAATCATTTTTGCGTTTATTAGTTACTTTTACTTTCTCATTTCTATTTTTGTCATTGCAAGAAGAATTTCCTGGTATTGAATATAAGTAAGAACTGTCTGAATCCTCAGTTTTTGGTTCCGACTTTAGAATTGAACTTCTTTTTTTCATTTTAATCTTTAAATCGTTTGTACTGTCCAATGAAGCCATCTGTTTTTCACAAATTGAAACAACACGATCCATATTTAATGAATTATTATCTTTTACTGGAGGTGCAGATAATAAATCTTTTTTTTCATTAGGATATAATCTTTTGCAATGAGCTTCTAAATACTCAAATGATGAGTCGGTAGAACAAGATGGTTCAGGAGATACATCACGTGGCTTATTTTTTTGGGTTTTAAAAATACTTATCGGTGTCTTACGATAAACTTTTTTTCTAGGGTTCAGGAGAGATGATTCAGGAGATATATCGCATAGTTTATTTTCTTGTGTCTTAAAAATACTTATCGGTGTTTTACGATAAACTTTTTTTCTAGGGTTAGTTAATTCTGGTGTCTTTATCTTAGGAGAATCTAAATTTATCATATTCTCGTTGTTCGTAGTTGAATTAAAAGAATTGACATTTTTTGATACTTCTCCACTTGGTGATACATTTACCGTTGTAGAAAACAATTGTTGTGGCATAGATTCATTTTCTATGTTACACATTTTGTTTAGTTCTTTACTTATTTTATCAAAATTAATAAGAGAAATATTGCTGGCATTAAGAGTATTGTTTAAAATAGACTCTTCGATAATTGTTATTAATTTTTTAGTAAACTTCTGTGGTGAAGCAATATATTTGTCAGAAAGACGTCTATAGATTTCTTGTTTCGTTAACTCAGCTTCTGTTGGATTTAATTTGCCATCCAATGCGTACAGTATGTTACCAAATTTTATATTATTTTGAGATATCAATGAATGATCTTCCATATCATTTTCTATTGCAAATTCACTATTCATGCTACTCTTACCTTTGGATATATTATTATCACATTTTTCTCCAACTACTGGCTTTAGACTTTGTGATTCTGAAATAATCAAGTTACTAATTAACATTATTATTGAAAATAATAATCTAATTTATATATTAGAAGTTCCTTAAGTGTTCTTAATACAAGTTGATGTTAGTACATGTTTATCTAGAATATTTAGAATTATAATTTAAAATATAATGACTTACGAAAATGGTTTAAAGAATGAGTGAAATTATTGCCTCGACGACGACGTAAAGCCATTCTTAAATATGCACAACAAAATAACACTAGATAGTTCGTAACGTCGTAGAATTTAATCTGAATTCAATAGATTATCGTAACGACAGTTAACACGAGCACGTCGAATTAATTCGAAATAAAAAAATATGGCGCTAGTATACTCGAGCGCTATCTTACGATGAGAAAAATGCACTAACAATGCATTAAGTAACTAAACTCATTGGTTAGTTCACACAAGAAGAGCGATCGACATAGGAAAATAACTAGTAAACACGACTGGAAAAAAAAGGAAAGATCATTTTTGGAAATAGCCGCTAGGTTTCGTTATGTTCGCTAATTTCAGGTTTATAACGTCATATTTTTCATTGACAATTGTTGAAAAACTGCATCATTAGCAATTGTATTAATGTTTTTTTAATTTAAAAAAAATAATATTTATTTAATAATGGTAAATAAATGTATTGTTCATGGGTGTACAAGTGAACGAGTCAAGGATCATAATAAGAATGCTAAATTAAATCAGAAAAATACGTCTTTATTCACTGTAACACAGGTAATATAACCTTAATTGATAGTTATTAATTACTAATATAAAAAAATGCAATGATGCAAATGGTAAAAAGTCTAGTCTTGTAAAAAGTGCAATTTACGATAATAAATTACAATTTACTTTTAATTGGACTTTTTTAATTTAGTTTTCCATCCTTTACTCAACTGCGACTAGATAAGATGAAATTGAATAGATTTACACAGCAAGTTGGCGATAATATATGTTTGATTTAATTATAAAATAATAAACAATTTTTTCTTATTGCTTTAACTCTTAAGTACAATAGTTATGTGGCGTCCCGCACCTGCTTGGTGCTGACACCCCATGGCAGTGCTGTCAGATCGTGGGTAAATCTTACCCTCTCCCTGTGCCACTGGTATTGCACACAATGAAAGTTTTCCATGTCCGTGTGTTTGGGATGTCGAAAGAAGTCGAGTGTAACCGAAGTTGGCGGTTGGCCACGAAGTGGCACACTATGAAAGCGACTCGTGT